CAGCGCAAATGGGCGCCTGACACATTCTTTCCGTGTCGCTGTTTGGACATCGATGATAGCCATCTACACCGTGCACATGGTCACGCAGTAATGTTGGATGAGTTTTCTCGCATCAATGCGGACATTAACATTGAAATCATGACCGCCTCGATGAAGGATCAGTTTTTCGGTGATGTCGACTTATTGCATCAACGTTTCACCACACAACTTCGCAAACTTGCTCGACGCTGGCATGTACATGGTTCCGGTCTGCTTTCAGATCTACAGCCAGTTGTGTCTCAGCTAATGGATACTCATCGGATCAACCTTCAAGATCGGGCTTATTGGTCATCGACATCGTTGCAACGCACTGTGGCTTCTTTGTCTTCGTGGGTAGTCATCCCGGCGGATCATTTCCCCTCCCGCGCACATGTGATGTGCCCGTCCCTGTTTGCCATATTGATGCGGAAGACATTCTGCGCGGGGGATGTCTTCTCACTTTGCCGCGAATCTGCAGCATCCTTCCGCTCTGAAGTGGTAAACACAGTACCTTCTCTCCTACGTCAACGATATGCATGGGGCCTTCGACTTCAAGCACCGTTGCCCACAGCGCGCATCCTCCCAAAGCCGACCAAGGACTGGCAGAAAGCTCGACCCATCATCTCATTCTTTCGCACATGGGCAGCTCCCTTCCTCACGGTCTTCGGTGCACTTATATTTGAACTCACCAAGGCAGCCTTCCCCGACATTGCAGGTCAACTCTCAGTACAAGAACTTATCCAGCAGCTGTGGGAAGCACTGTCAAAAGCAGATCCTGATGAGTACATCCACCTGGTGTCGCAAGACTTGTCAGGCTTCTTCACGTCCATTCCTACGGAACGTTTCCATCAGGCGCTTCAAGTGCTTCTTCATCGCTATGATCAAGTTGTTGGCCTTCGCGGTTCCTCGCAATGGTCCGTGTACGAAGTCAAGTCAGATCATCGACGCCGTATGTTCAAAGGAAAGTGGCGCCGTCAAACCAAGATCCCTCGAAGTTTTCGTGAACAAGATCTCCGGCACCTTCTGGACTTTGTCATTGACAACAGTCACTTCGAGATCAACGGATACCTGTTCCGCCAAGAACGAGGAGTCGCTATGGGATCACCAGCCGCGCCACCGTTGTGCAATTTGGTAGCTACGGTTGAAGATTTCTTCTGGCACCGAACCATGATTTCACTGCGGTTTTGCATGCCCGGCATTGGTGTGATTTGGCATGTAGAAATTTGCGACTGCGTGAGTGTTCACGACGTAGAACATCCTGATCAGTCGCCCCAACATAGTATGGTGCGTGCCATGGGGAAAGTCGAATGTAGACGCACGGTTGTTGGTGATGACCTGGATCATGTATGAAGTCGTAGAGGTCAGGAAATCGCGCCCGCAATGAGCGTAGATGTCGCGTGTCAGCGAAAGTTGAGTGCATGATTTCACACAAGAGAGAAGTCTTGTAGAAGTGAAGAACTTCGAAGAACGGCGGGATGTAGCCGTGATCCTGTGAAATAAGACGTTGTAAGAAACTGATCAATAAATAGGCAGCGCACCGACATCTGTGAAGTTCGTACCTGTTGGCCACGGTGTGCTGAGAGTTTGACATAGCGCAATTCGGAATCTGGAGGGCTATCCGGACCATAACTAAGACCTCGATGATGAGACCCAGCCACGGCAATTGTGTGATGGATTCGTACTCTTCAATTGGAATCGACGGTGGTGGTAGTCCAGGGAAACAGTAATGCCAGCACGTCGAGAATGTAGTCAACGAGTGCAGAAGGTCGTCCAGCGACTGCCATTGTGCAACATCATCATAGATTCCGCAATGGCGAAGTTCATCCAACATGGTGAGATGCAACCAACGAAATCTACCACAAGGCGGCGACATGAATACAAGCATCACAGACAATCACACAAGAGGCAATGCAAGAACAAGCAAGTACAAAATCAATCATGTGCAACGCAAACACTTGACGGACGAGTTTTCACCTGGACTCATCCGTGACATTGTTGCCGCTCCAGGCTCATATGAGAACGAAGGTCGATATGACGCCTTCTCATCCACAAAGCAGGCGAGCGGTCACGATGAGGTGACTCAATGCCTTCTCGGTGAGTTTGGTAAGGTACCCGGGTTCAAGACCCCATAGTGCTGCCATTGCACCGAGTGTGGGCGCATCGCCCTTCGGCATGCGCTGCCTGGCCTGAAGAAGCTGCGTCGCCATAGAATCTAACGATTTGTTGCCGTTGAGCCGGGACGGGTGATTGGCCCACTTAACCAGCGACGCCAAAGTGGTTGTTGTGGGTGCTTGCTTGAGGAAAAGGCGAGGTTGGTCACTGGTCCATGTGTAGTACTTGACAACTTCATCCGGCGTGCTGTGCATGGTGAGCAACTGTGACGCCGCCGGTTTGGACGGCGGTGACGACACTCCGTGAAGAGACTGCATGATCCGAGGTTGCACCACGCTATCAAACGACTTGCCATCCAGGGCGGCCGCGCTGGCTGTGGGCAGGGAGCTGGCAGGTGACGAGGATGGTGTGTGGTTGACCGGTGGCGGTGTAACCAACTCTGCATCATCTTTCTGGTTTGTCATCGTGGGCGAGGTCGATGCGCGAAGTGATGCGGAATACTGAGCCTGTAGAAGTTCATGTGCACGATTCAAGTCATTGAACTTCTTGACCATGTCATCGGTCTGGGCAGCAGGTGCGAGAGAGGTGTGATGTTGTTGAAGAAATTGAAGTACCAGGTTGGCCAAATGGTCGTGGACCTTGATGCGCTGATTGAAGTCATCAATGTTGAGACCCAGCGTGTTGGCAAGGTCCTTTTCCAGGGTGAGCAGGTTGAGTGACTGCGATCTTCGTAGTAGTTTGGAGCAGGTACTCCAAAGTAAGGCTTCAGTGCGGGTGCGAAAGCCTTCCCACGTCACGAATCGGCCGTGTGCAAACGGCCTGAGCAGCCAGTTGGTGAGGCCCCCGTGGATAACCTGAACCAGGCGTACGTCCCTAATATCCATGCCTGACATGTCGCGAAGGTTGCCATGTGGAGTGTTGGCAACAGTCATGGGCAGGCTGAAGTTGTAGAGTTGATTGACATCAAACATGCCATCTGCAGGTGTCCAGTCAGGCGAGGGAGTAAGCCAGGCTTTCTGAGGACGAACCGGTAGAGCTGCAGGAGGTCCAGGTGAAGGTGTAGGTTGGGAAGTAGTGACCGGTGGTGGCATCATTGGTGGGATGAACTTGGACGGTGTGGGATCAGGAGGAATCGGCATCATGTAGTTGATCGCCGGGTATTGGAATTGTTGTGTGGGGTTGTGAGTCGATTGAAAATTGGTAGGCACCATCGGAAAGTTGTTAGCAGCATTGTAGCCGGAGTTGTGTTGCCATGAAACCAAGTTGTTCCAATCCATGTTCTCCGAGACCTGGTTGTCATTGTGCTCACGTCGGCGTGCTTTGTGAGCTTGAGGGGACGGACTCCGATCACGTCTGCGTCGAGTCCTGGATCTATCACGATCATCACGTCGAGACATGGTGACGCACCCAGATCGGAATTTGCACACTGCCACCTTGAGAGAATCAGACCCGACAATATTCAAATCCATGCAAATGCAAGTTAGCGGCCCTCAACTGCAATGGTCGAGCGAAATGTACAAGGCAAAGCAAATACAAGTCAGCAATCGACAACCGCAATGATACGAGCAACAAGTTCAACCAATGGTCAAGGTAGGCAATGAAAATCGGCAGCTATCAACTATGGTGAGACGTCACTATGAACTGACGGCTTTCTTCCCTTTAGTGAAACCTCGTTCCTGATTAAATGTGAAATTCCGCTGTTCTATGATACGCACGTTGAGGTCAAATTTTCCGACAGAGCCGGCCCGGGGTCACACAATGGGTACACCCGAGGATTCCCCACGAATGGGGTGTACACACTTGAACTCCAGATGGAGAGTGCTAATCTTTCGAGTACAACTGATGAGTCTCGAGTACAACCGACAAGTCTCGAGTATGATGAGTTTCGGCTCGCAATGTATTCGGCTTCCCTCTAGTGTCGAAAACGTTACCAGCAAGAACAAGAAGCACAAACAGCGCCGCAACCAAGGGGCCAAAAGGACTTTCAGAATCACTGAAGCAGGTACAGGTGTCCACGTCTGGACACCCTTCCCACCTTTGGCAACAGCTTCATTGCGTGCAGTATGCCAAAGGTGCTGCACGCCCCTGCTGCGAAGCCGAAAGGGTGGTGACAGGGCATTCTGTCACTCCGCACACACACACACACACACACACACACACACACACACACACACACACACACACACACACACACACACACACACACACACACACACACACACACACACACACACACACACACACACACACACACACACACACACACACACACACACACACACACACACACACACACACACACACACACACACACAACACACACACACACACACACACACACACACACACACACACACACACACACACACACACACACAACACAAACACACACACACACACACAAACACACACACAAACACACACACACACACACACACACACACACACACACACACACAGACACACACACACAGACACACAGACACACAGACACACAGACACACAGACACACAGACACACAGACACACAACACACAGACACACACACACACACACACACACACACACAGACACACAGACACACAGACACACAGACACACACACACACACACACACAGACACACAGACACACAGACACACAGACACACAGACACACAGACACACAGACACACAGACACACAGACACACAGACACACAGACACACAGACACACAGACAAACAGACAAACAGACACACACACACACACACACCCGCACACACACACACACACACACACATTTGTGGTGGCCTGTGTGCGTGCCGCTCGTCCCAGGCTTTCCCGAGCTTTCCCCACCGGCTTTCGAGCCAGCGCTTGCCCCTGGGGGACCCTGCGCATCTCTCCTGCCGGGCATCGGCGCCTTGGCCAGAAGGGAGGAAGTTGGGGATCAAACTCCTTCAGGAAAAGGGCTCTTGAGTGAGTGGATTGGCTCACAAAAACATATTGACTGCCGCTGGGCTTCCCAAAAAGCCAACTTTGTCCTGGCACTCAGGGAGTCAGTACAGGTCTGAGCTTTTTTGACCTGATGCCAAAGCTTTATCTTTAAAAAAGAAACTGGTTTGGCTGATAAAACCGCCATTGTTTCCCTCGGGAGGTTCATCAAAAGTTGGTTCTTGCCATTCGTTTCGGGGTTCGGCAGGACGGAGGAGACATGCAAGCACCGCTCAAAGGAGCGCCCAAAACGCCCCCGCCCCCCCTCCCATGCGCTCAAGGTTTGGGTCAGCCTGTGTTCAGTGACGTTCATGGCCCAAAAGGTGATGCTTACACTAACACCTGCGACATATAGGGAAGTTATGGGTTAACCTGAAGTTGGGATGATGGAAACAAGGAAAACCACCCTCAATGACTCAAAACAAGTGCGGGGCCATTGGGAATGTTTAATGGAACATTGTCTGTCTATAAAGGGGCTCCGAATGAGTGATGTCGGTTCCAGCACGTAGCTCCTTAGAAGATTTGGAACCCCTTTCCACTCAACTCGCTCGGCACGCCAGGGCAAAATTCCGGGAAATTCACCAACCCAAACAGGTTTGCGCCCTGACAAAGCCTTCGTCTGGAAAAGGACTGTTGGACCCCTGCAACAGACGTCATTTGATACCACTGATGAATTGACCAGAAAGATTTACCCCGACATCACGGGCTCGCAACACAATCCAAGAAACAAAGTCCCCCCCCCTCGTCCTCTGCTCCGGGCAGATCTGAAGCTGTAACTGCGCTCCCCGGCTCTGGGGAAGCCAGAATCCAGGCGGCACCTCTTCAAGTGGATGCAACAAAGTCCCCGCGATTGGTGTTCCTTTTTGGCTTCAAAGGCTTCTGCCTCCCCAAAGAAAAGGCGATTGATATCCTTGCGGGCATCCTCAGCGACTGGCCAGGGTTCTTCCCTCTACTTGATGGCTTGGATTGGTGGTTTGCAGGTCACGGGTAGTTTCTCGTTTACCTACAAGGACCATGACTGATCTCCTAATGGGAACCTTCTGAACTTGGAGTTCCAGCCCAACGCATTCACTGCCGGGGTTCACCGAAAGCCTAGACCCCTACTGCATTGGCCCCACCAGCTGTTCAAACCTGAGATGGCCCCAAGGAATTCTTGAACTTCTGGGCTCCAGAGCTGCTATCCAGAAAAGCTGGGCGTATGCTCTGTCTTGCCAGCTGTCACAAGGTCGGCTTTGGAAAGAAAGACCGGACCTAAGAGAAGTGTCTGCCTGCGCACACATGGGTTTCACGCTCGCACGCAGGCGTTGGGTAAAGACCGCACCGCACATGCACTATTTCTGTGGGGCAAAAGGCGATGCATATGACCGCATCCGAATAGTTAAAGCAAGCTCATCCGGGTAAGGCGTGTAGCAACCAGGCTCACCTTCAATTCCCTTGAAAACCCTGGGCTTCGAAAAGTGGGCTTGCGCCCGTCCAACGACAAATGCTAGCAGGCACAGGCCAAAACATAGAAGACCAATATTCAATAGATTCGTTTAAGAACAAGAGGAACCTCTGGGAGGCGCTCCCAGACGTACACGGCCCGGATAGTAAAGAAATCCTCGCAACTCAGCTCCCCCCTCTTTCCACAGGCCCCGGGCAAGCAGTCGCAGCGCGGAGGCGAGGAGCATTCCTCAGATATTCCCCGACCAGGGCCAACGGCTTCGGTGCAATTTGCGACTGACTCGCCAAGTGTTGAAGTTGGCTTCGAAGCAAAACCGAAAGGTCCCGAAAAGTGTCCGAAAGTTCAGTGCAAACACCCCGCTTGCAGGGCTATCGACAAAGGCAGAAAAAGTCTCACACGCCGGCTCTCCGATTCGAGCATGGGAAAATCTGCAATGGTGAAGTTGGAGAAGCGGCAACCGGCTTTCCCAAAATTAGCTGGCCCATGAGGAAATCAGAGCTGAAACCAAAACATCCGGACGCAGGTCATGTGAAGTCTGGAGCTCGTGGAGCGCAACCATCTGATCCAGCGCGTATGGCGCTGTGCCATCATGCCAAAGGTAACGGGGCAGCCTGCTCAAAACTGGGCCCCCTACGGAATATGCGCCATGATCCTTTGCCCACAAAGGAAACGTGATGAAATTGCCCCGCTCCATGCGGGCAAACCCCCCAACAATACTTTGGTCTGCGCCAGTTGTCATAGTTCAGCAGCCTCAAGCCAGCAACTTCGCAGGGATGTTCCTCCAACCGGGCATCCCTGCCTTCTGTGCCACTTCCACCTGGAGCCACCACGGCAGCCCCCACTCAAAAACGGCAGCGTCCCGCAACTGTACATGGGATTCTGGTAACAATGCGGTCACGGTGACTGGTTGCTTGGCTGGGGGACGAGTCTCTCTGTCAACTGGTAGGTTGGCAGCCTTTGCCCTTGTTCATATGTAGTTCATGGCATGGGGACGGTCAAAACAAAGAGAAAGAGGTGTCACTCCCTACCACTGGCTCCATGCCACTGGACTCATGTCTGTTAAGAAAATAAAAACCAGCCCACAAACTACAGTACTTGCAACACAGCCATTCGCCTTCCAGAGGAAGATGACCCCCAGCATGGAAACTGACCCGGAGGCCTTCTAACAAAACACGCATCCGAGCAGTCTTCACATTTCACGGGTTTCACCGCCATAGTTCCCTCGGGTGCCCGAGACACTCAGAAGCTGCCTCGTTTCCAACGCCATCCTCCCGAAAACCCGGACGTCGCTCGCGGCTCGATCGCCTCCAGCGCCGCGCCGGAGGAGCGGATCAGGTCCCGCCTTTGCGGCGGGGGTTGGGGAATGAAGCCGAGCCACCTGGAGCCCAAGCCAGGCATTTCCCATTCAGCAGGGAATGGGCAACGCCACGAAGTGATCTGTCAGTGTTCGGCGCCCTCCAGGAAGATTGCAGAAGCTCCGCCCAGGCAGGGCTCCAGGCGAACATGGCTGGGGGTGCTCCTTGGGCTGACGCTTAGGGCAGGAGATCTCGCGCGGAACAAAGACGAATTCCAGGCGGATATGATGCAGTCTCCTGAGTGCACCTTGCCCTGGTTGCCAAGAGCTAAGACTCACAAACTCTAAAGGAGAAGGGATGATCTTTGTCTCTATGATCTTATTCCAGAATGTGGGATCTTTTTCAAGGAATGTCGGAGCTTCCTTAGCTGGACTTAGGCCCCCTCTCAATCATTGGCTACTTAGCTGGCAAGTCAGAACACAAGCCGAATGGCAAAGGGTGACAACGGGGGAAGCGGCCTTCGATCACCGAGGACCCTTTGTGAAAAGAAAAGTTCTTTCCCCCGCCCCCCTGCTGGGCACAAGGCAGGGCAGCTGCTGGCTCGTGAGAGGACACGCCCAGGACGATCTTGCGCCGCCCTGAAGCGGCGACTGCAGCATCCGACCCTCCGGTGCCAACAACAAAATACTTGACTGATAGGCGACATCGGCCGTTCCCTCGACCACTGGTGATAGGGCATCAAGCCACCGGCATCTGACGGACACATCGAGAGAAGCTGCAAGAGGCACTGCTCTTTTTGGAACATTCCTTACGCACCAGTTCTTCGCCACATCCCGCTGCTGAGCTGTCCTTTTTGCGTCGCTTCCCGAACATCAACAGAAGGGAACCCACAAGACCCAGCGACACACAAAGCTGAAGGCTCTCGGCCGAAGGCCAGGACTCATGACAAAACACTTACGTCAACTCCCCTAAGAAAATTCGACCCTCCACGCTGCACCGTGTCAAAGCCAATCAGCACGTCCGTAGCCGCGCCTGGTGCGAGAGCAACCTGCCGCACAGCTGGCCAAGAGACGCAGAGCTCGCCTTTTGTATCAGTGGTTTGTCCTGCCCAAATGATCCACATACAACAACCGCCTAAAAAAGAGACAACTGTACTTCATATATCTTTCAAGCTTCTCCGCGACAACACAAAGTGGAACAGCCTACCTGGAAGCGCCGGGGGGGTGTGCTGAAGCACAAGGGGGGGTTTTCATAGATCTCTTCCCAACCCACCTCAGGCCCACTGAAGTAGCAAGCCTGGCCCCTGGCAAGGGTCCTGGTATATTCCTGCGGAAGGTGTTCCTTGTAGGTTGTCGTGTGGACCTAGCTTCATTTCTGAGAGCCCCCCAAGGAGCGCAGTCGGGACGGGGAACTGAACCCATCCAATAGCTCTTCCCTTACTTTTGTTTGACAAAGTGCCCTCGCAGTTGTTGAGCTGCCCTTCAAAGTGAACTGCCATCCCTTGAGCTCAAGTGGGTAACAAGCCCATTACGTCACGTCACATACCACTGGAGAGGCGGTTCGCGTAAGTTTCAAAAATATAAGAGCTATAGCTAACTTGCTCCTTTTCTTTCTCTGGTTACTCTGGTTCTCTCTCTCGTTCTCTTTCTCTTCCCCTGTCTTGTCGTTTTTTCTCTCTCTCTCTCCCTCTCTCTCTCTATTTCTCTTTCTCTTCTCTTTCCTTTTCTCTTTCTCTTGTTCATTCCCTTTCTCTCGTTCATTCTCTTTCTCTCGTTCATTCTCTTTCTCTCGCTCATGCCCTTTCTCTTGTTCATTGCCTCTTATCCTTCTCTGTCTGTCTTGCTTTCTTTTCTTTCTTTCTTTCTATATTTCTTTCTTTCTATATTTCTTTCTTTCTTTGTCTTTCTTTGTCTTACTTTGTCCTTCTTTGTCTTACTTTGTCTATCTTTGTCTTTCTTTGTCTTTCTTTCTTTTTCTTTCCGTTCTTTCTTTCCTTCTTTCTTTCTTTCTGCCTTTCCTTCTTTATTTTCTTTCTTTTCTTTCTTTTCTTTCTTTTCTTTCTTTTCTTTCTGTCTTTCTGTCTTTCTCTCTTTCCACCCATCTATCTATCTAACTACAAATGTTTCAACCGGCGTCGCGACCGAGGTCGGCTTCCTTTCGGCCAGCCGGAGACCCCAAAACCCGCGGAGGTCTGATTTTGTTGCCATTTCTAGTCCCGCACCAAACGCCCACACATGCTTTCTCGCATGCATCTTATCTTTGCGCGGAGCTGCCTTTCAAATAGTGTCCGTAGCACGGAAGTTCCTTCTAAACTTGCTTTGATAAGTTGACTTGCTTCTGGTTGAAAGGGAAATACCGGAAAACCAAGAAGGCAACTAATTGCAAATCAAACGTAAATTTTGTACCCATGCCTAACTTGCATGCTTGCTTGAGCTTCTGCGCTTTCTTCCCTGGGGTAGGACAGCACTTTGGATTTCAGTGACATTGGCTTTTGTCTCAAGTGTGCGGGACCCCGAAACTGAGTGGTTTCCTTTTGCCCCTCCTTTGCACCCAACCCACGGGAGGTCCCCTCAACCAAACACCTACAAATATCGGGTACTCGCCGGGAAGGCGCGCAACAGCCCGGCTGCAACGAATTGAACTTGGAATGCATCAGCTTCACTCGCTCAGGATTTCAGCTGGCCTCTTTTTACATAGGACAATAAGATTCGGCTGTGAAGATACAGGATCCGCAAAAGTTGCTCGAATTACCAACTGGAATTTCAATTGTCAGCCGATGAGGTTGGCTCCAAACCACCGTGTTGGCAAGCAGAGACTAAACTGCACTGTTGGCCTACTTGCCCACCGGACATGAATATGTTGGGCTCGCAAGTTTTTTGTTGATCCGCGCCGCCCTCCCCCCCCCCCACCCCCGCGCCGCCCCCCCCCCCCCCCCCCCGCTCCAAAACAAAAAGAAACCCCAGCGCCGTTCCTTTCCCTTTTCGCCTGTCGGATGAGGTGCGTCCAACCTGAGGCGGTCATCTGCGCGCCTGCGACTGCGATGACCCACAAAAGGCAGCTTGTCAAGAGAAAAACATCACAGCATGTCCTCTCGAAAGAGCCTAACCAAATAGGAACCAATTATGTTATGTACATGAGGGAGGATTAAAGTTGGGCACCGTCATGCCCCCCCAAACCCCCCACCTTGTAGCATCAAGCAACGCCTCGAGGCCAGCTTCCGGGCAAAGCGGTGGCATTGCTCGGCGATGGAACATATGGCAGGGCAAAACCGTCCGCCCAAAGGCCGACAACAAGATGGATCCTTCTGAACGGCCCTTGGTGCTTCTTACCTACTGCTGGTCCCCCCTGCCCCCTGCCCCTGACCCGCTTGCCTGCCAAGTCCAGGCGAGCCAAGCCCGAAGCGGCCACCGCGTCGCCCAACTGGGCGCTGGAGTGTCGGAGCACCTCGAGATGTTCGGCTGAAAGCGATGAAGAAACCTACGAGGCCTCATAGTTGGTGTCCTTTGGGGCTTCCCTATTGAAGCATTCAAGCAGCGGCTTGATCCCCAGCTTGAGAAAGAACAAGTCCAGAAAAACGGTATACATGTCCAGCCAGTTGTTGGAAAAGCAGTTCCGTTTGGATGCTAGAAATGGAAACATATCTTCTAGTGGCCGGCATTCGGGAAATCAAAAGGAACGCATGCCATCTTCGGGGGCCACCTCATTTTCAGGGACCCCTTTTTGTAGGCCACCCCCAGCCCAGCAGCACAAAGAACAGGTGGTCGGCTTCGGGACACTTGGCCACCCTCAACCAGGCACTTGCCGTGAGATGCAGCAGTGCTCTTCCCAGTGGCCCCAAAACAGTCAGAGCTTGACGCAGCTTGATGTCGGCAAACCATATGCCATGGGCCTTTTTCACAGTGTACCGTCTTGAAGGCTTCCAGGGCTCCAAGTCGGAGTGTCAACAGAAATCCAAACAATGGACAGGTTGTTGCTGTCAATCCCGCTAGCCAAAGAACACCTACAGGAATCATGGAAGGAGGTCTTCCTCTTCTCTCGCCCCCTCCCTACAACAATGGCAGGAGTCCTTTTCCCAGGCTTAGCGCAGGGCCGTATCTCTTTGGGGGCAGCGGGGGAGGGGGTGCATGCCAAAAAACTACCTTGCTTTAACAAAGAAACATTAAAGCATCAAGCACATACTGGTGATGCATTCATCAAGGGCACGAGCAGTCTGTAAACCTTTGGTCTTTAGTTACCTACGTCAAAGTGAATCTGAATCTGGTGTGGCCATTCTCAACCTCCCCCAAGAGGCAGTTCTGTCTGGAGAAACAGCACTTTGGGCCTCTGCGTGCTTTTTCCCTTTGGCCAGTGTAGATGATTGCCTTCAAGAGCTGTCCATGTACAAGGTGCCGGGTTTAGCGAACGAATTGGTACAGAATGCTCGCCATCGCGGAGTATTGAGAAACAAGCGTCATGCGCGTATTACTTCACCAAACCGGCTCCCCCAACATCCTGGCACATCTGAGCCGTGGAACCTTGGTCGGGGCGTTGGGCCTTCCGGACCCTAGCGATCCCCTTTAAACCCCACACCAAAAGGAAATGGCATAAAATCGACCCGAAAGATGATGAAAGCCACAAAAATGAAGGACATCTCGGGAACCCTACAAAAGTTCTCACTGTTACCCTTTGCGAATTTCTCTTTGTCTTGGCCCGTTTCCACTAGCTGGGTTTCAATGACTGTGCCAAGAGCCCGCTTTCGGGGGGAACATGATGACGTTCCTCTTCAAGCAACATCCTCATGCCCATCCTCATTGACACTGATCCGCCTCCGCATCATGCAACACATGCAGATAAGGTAAATCCGGTGAATCAGGTAAATCATCAAATGACATAAATCATGGACCAGTGATGCAGATTACATGTCCAAAGAAGTCATCTCCATGCACACTCGACCTGCAGGTGGCTTGGCGGCTCGGGTTCCCGGCGTTGATGGGCCTTGGTTCTGAAGGGGCGGAGACATGCGTCGGAGCAGGGTGTTTTGCCAACCAGCAAGGTGGATGAATTTTCAGGCCACCCACAACAATCTCGAAATCAACTGTGGTCGGGATCCCTGAAACTCTTCAATACAGGGGATGCCCAATTCTGAGGCGGGTCAGACCAGAGCCCTGGCCATACTGCGGTCATACGTAGTTGGCATTGGAGAAGCAACTACTTCGGGAGGGGAAAGCATAAAGCCCAAAGCTCAAAAGGGCCGTGCAAGAGGAGTCAAACCACCCAAAACTACAAAAAAAAGAGTAGGGGTTCCCAGCTTTGTCTTCACTTTTCGGGTCCCAAACCCCGACTCCCCCCCCCAGCCGGCAAGGCGCAGCCCGAGCTCCCTGAGGCAGGGCCAGGACCTGGCAAGGTGGACAAATGCAAAAACGCAACAGGGCCACGCAAACTTCTTGTATTGTTGCAATGGGACATAAGTTACTATATACAGATATATGCAGTACATGCATTCGTGTATGTGTGTAGAGGGGCCCCAGCCTCAGGGTGAATCCCCTGGTTCCATGGCGAAGTAGCAACCAACTATGGCTTCGTCATGGGTTCATATGAGCGCTTTCGTTTAGCCTAGATTGAAATCGCTCCCTTTCCCCTGTATGACCCTCTGTCCTTTTTGATCCTTTAGGTTCCTTGATCATAGCTCAAAGAGTGTGCGGGTCGATAAAAACGGGCTACCGCCCCCTGCTCCTCCCACAACAAAACGGACTAAATGACACCCAGAGTTCAGACATGGTCATGGCTGAACACGCGCCAACCAGTGCCAGAACTGAGCCCACGATGAATCCCCAATAGCATCAAACAGAACTCCCCCGGAAGCTGGAAACTTGACCCAGGCCACTCCAACCCAAGATTTGCGGTTTGACTCCATCTGCTGTCCGGGGAAGGGAGGTTCGAGGCTACTGCTGCCGGGGAAGGCAAACATAGCTGAGACGTTCGCTCGCCTCATGGCTGTTGCCAGCATCCGCACGCTGGTGTCCCCCAGATGGTGCCGTGCTGGGGCCTCCTAGGCAAAACATCCCAGGGGCCAGTGAGCCATGGACACGGCCCCGCTAATTGACGCACATGAGTTGTGAGTTTACCGTTTACCGCCCCAAAATGGCTGGCTTCCTTTTCGCTTCCTTGAGCCCAACAAATTGAGGGCCCTTCACCCCCACACGTCATGCTTTGCAGCCCCCACCCTCTGGCTAGGGCATGCTGGGGCCTACACAAGGCGCAGCACCTCCAGATTCCGTAGCTCCGCGGCCTGCGGCCAGAAAAGAGATGCTGCTCCTTTTCCGTCGCATGAACGGAATCTCCTCTTAGGTGACCGTTTTTTGGGCGAGGGTATGATGAATCCTGGGTCTACCTCAGCGGTTGCCCTCAACTAAAATCGACATAGTATGATCCCGCTTAGTGCACCTTTAAAATGTAAAATGATGCTAAAAAGCGACCGGAGCAATGCATACCTCCAGGAATGCTATACCTCTGGGGCACCATCTAGTGCGCCCAGAATAGGAAGGTTGGCAAGTTGCCAGACTGTGGATGCCGCAAGCATCGGCCACAAGAGACCTTTCCCGGAACGCAGTGCGGGGAAAAGGAAGCAGGGCACCACCAGAGGTGTGTGAGCGTCAGCTGCCACTCCCTCAAGGAGAAACCCTAAATGGGACGAATGAGGCGGGCAAGTACGCCTGCATTTCATTCGTTGCTTAATGGGTCTGCCGGGAGAAACTCCGGGGGGCCCTGCTCTTCTTAACACTGTTGTTGCCTTTTTGTTGGGCCCAGAACTGAGTTGGGGAAACCAGGTCCCCGTCCCCGTGGTTGAAATCCACCACAAGGTCGGCACCAAGGAGATCGGAGGCGCGCCTTGCAGCACAGGTTCCGGACGATGCTGTTCAGCTCACGCAGGGAGGCGTGCAAGACCTGAGCCAGGAGTTGTTCAAAAGGTATATCCACCCAAGTGGTGCGACATGTATATGCTGCTGTTGCGTCATGCGACGTCAAACTGGCCCCACATTTTAACCATTGAAAGGGAAACACCCGCAGATACTGACTGTGACAACCCCAAACAGCAGTCAACATGAAAAGAAGGGTTTCAAATTTGCAACTTGGTGCACATATCATCTTCATCTTTGTTCGGAGGCTCACAGAAAGGATGCAAAAACACAAACAAAAACATGCTAGGTTTCAACAACCCTCGGTGATCAGCAGGATCCACGCTTGCCTTGAACATGCAAGCCTCTTGCTGTTTCAGAACCGGCAAACCCGTGTCCCAGTGCAACTGTGGAGCGTGCTGGCAGGGAACAAACTGCGCACACACACACACACAACCGTACCGTTAACAAGCCGCCAGCTGGCTTCCCACCCTGACCTCCAGATTCTGAGATCAAGCTTGGGCGTGGCCTTTGATTTAGGAGGTGGACATCCTAAACCCTAGATCAAGGGAGCAAACTGCGCCCCAGAAATGTGATCGAAAGTTGGCCTGCTGATGCAAAATGTGCATGAAGGGACATGGCTTGTGATGCCTACGCATGCATCTCTTTATGGGAAGAAAAAGGCATCTTCAAAGTCAACTGGTGATGCTCTGGAACGCGAATCACACCGTCTCGCACGAGTATTCATGCGCATGTCTTGAACCATGACCCATGCTAGACTGAACAACCGCCCCCAAAAACGCGGAGCCCCTCCACATGGGTATTTCCTTGTAAAGCAGTCCCCAAACAAGCTTCCCTACTTGTGGCACATAGTCCAGGAGCCACGGGCGTCATTTGCAGTTTCGGTTGGTACTATTTTTTTCATCGGCCCTCATGAACGACGCCATGAAAACCCAGAAAGCATTGGCCCTGACTAAATGAGTACGAGTAGAGACCGTCCCGCTGACCCGCCAGCTGTCTCTCGACTCACGGGCGTCTGGCGATCACCTTCAAGCTGGGGAAGTACAAGCGGCTCACGGCCTGGGGAGCGTCAACCCCCGTTTTTCAACTTCTCAAAGCTTATCCACATAAGTCATGTGTTCTCTTAAAAACCAAAAAAAAAGGGAAAAAAACTCACTTTGACATGTTGATTTATTTGGGGTTGAGTCGGGACCTCCCCTTTTTCGGGGGAGAGTTGTCCTCCACTTGGACGGGCGTTTGTCGATCTGGGGTTGCCATGGACTCTGGCCAGTAAATCCCCTGTTGGTTTTCTTTTAGGGCTGTTAAAGAAAATGGGCTACTCAGCTCCAAGACTTTTACACTTCAGACTTAGCAAGCCACAAGAAGTGTGTACCGCATTCTGCCGTCAAAGAAGCATAGATGACTGAAGCGAAGCGGTGAGCGAGCTTGAATACCCTCCCGCCCACTAACATGGAACCTAACGGAGGCCTGCTAGCTTAAAAAAGGAGGTATCCGAGGCAATTGTCAGAATGACTTCCTCAGTGGAAGGATAAACACGTCAAATTAATCTGAGGCTCGTCAATCCAGAGCTGGCCGGTCTTTATCAGAATGGCGTTGACTTCCATTTGCTTTCCCTCGCCAACAACCTGGAAGAAGGGCAAATATAAAGGCGCAAAAGATTTAGAATGGGGTTGAGGGGTACTGTAAAAACCAAGTTTGGGCATGATTGGATCATTCATGTTCCCTTTTGGGGGCATCAAACCTGGTTTAATATTTAAGTCTACCTTGGCGCTAGTCTCAAATTGGAACCCTGCATCCATTCCCCTCCAAACAAAGGACACACCGAAATGGTTGCAATGGGGCGCTGAGACCACCCGCAGGTCCCGCCTCCCCCGTCATCTCGCCCTGGCCCGACTTCGAAGCGGAGAGAGCGCGCCGTTTTGGCAACCACAAGGAGCAGGTGTGTGGTGGGGGCGTGGGGTTGGGTGGGGATAGGTCGGGCTGGGTGGGGTTGGGCGGGGTTGGGGAAAACAAGTGTGCTGATGGCTCAAATGCACTTTATCCTTGATCCCTCTGCAGTAAAACCCAATGACACATGCATCCTGCTGCAAAGTATGTCACACACAAAATGTGCTTGGCTCTTGATGAACCTTGAAGTTTTGCGTCGCCTGTAGCCCCATTTCAATGCAAGATTGCGCAGGATCCCAACATGGCACTGGCGCCCGCCATGAATCTGATCCTGATCAGACTTCGGCCCTGCAAAAAGTGCATCCCTTTTTGTTAAGCCAAAATTGTGCAAAAAGGCACCCAAATATCTTCCGAAAGTCTGGCCATGATCTGCCGGGCATACAAAAACAAGAGTTTTGGCAAATTGTAATAATTAATCAACAAGAAGTGAGGGATCCCCCTAGTAAAGGACCGTCATCATGGGTCAGCTCGATTCCCCTCCAATGAATCTCGTTATGATTCGCGCAGAAGGATGCCAACTTTTTCGCAGAAAAGGCCACCAAGGAAAGCCATATTCGACAGAAAGCCCACCAGCGGAAAGCGGCAGTGCCCCGAACCCGCTGGACGTGAGGAAATCAAACAACCCCCAACCCCAAGGGAATTTTCTTGGGATTGGTTCTGACGGAAGAGTCCTGACAACCCAGGGGACCAAGGTCTCTCCATGGATCTCTTTGGGAATTTGTCCAAGAATGCCCAAATCCACCCTCCTGGAGGATCGCCTTTGGGGGATTGGGCACTGCAGGGGGAGGGGGGGGGGTTCACAACACGGTGGAAGGTGGTTTTTTCTCCTAGGTTAGCGAGCACGAAAATGCAGTATTTTGTGGAATGGTGAAACAACACGCACCTGATTTACACCAGCACTCTCAACATCCCCAGCATTGTTTTTGACAGCCCCGTACCGTTTTTCAACACCCCCGGCATCACCAGAAGCTTTGGTTTAGGCTGGGTTTCCGGTGGGCTCAAGGTTGGTTTATGGTGGATTTGGGTGGGGTGGGTTTCTTTAGTGAATTTACGGTTGGTTTGGGTTGGCTTAGGTATAGGAAAGGTTTAGGCTTGGTTTTGGGTTGACGTTGGGTTTAGGTTTGGCTTGGGGTATGGGGGGTGGGGTTGCGTTTGGTTTAGGATTGTTTCTATATTTTGCCTACCCCAAATCATAGAAGTGGGCTGATCCCCTTCGGCTCCGCCTTCCGCACGAGGCATCTGAGGCGCGGCCTCGCATCTCGCGACTTCTTTAAGGGGCCCCTGCGTTTAAGCCACACGAGTCAGAGGGAAAGCAGGGAAAGAAATTGGAAATTGGTCATCGAGGCTTGAAAGCAGCCGTGCTTGTTTCAGGAGTGCTAGTGCCTGGGGGTTGGAACGCCAGTCTTGGAGGAGCACAACACCTACTTCCCAAAGTTTGATCGGGAGGGTGCATTCCCAGATTCCTCACTGAGCAAGGCTCAAGGGTGGGAACGACCCGAATGGATGGAGCCAGGCCCCTGATCTGCGTCGCTTGCCTCCCTGAGCCGATGCTAAAAAAATCAAGCTGCGGCCATGCAGCCTGCGGCTCCGGGCAGGGATATATGTTCGTAAGTCCCCTCCGGCAAGGCCTAGTCCATTAACCGCCAATACCGCGGGGCTTGATGAAGCCGCTGTCCCAGCACCAAGTCCCAGCACTTCACTTCCGCATCGCCCACAACCACGTGCGTGGGCCAGGCCCAACGCGCCTGGGCCAACGCGCCTCAACTTAATTCCGCGGCAAGGCCTGGCGCGATCCGAAACCGGCTGGGCCCCTCGCACGCATCCAGCAGAGAAGACGCCACTGTGCAAGGCCTGGCCATCAAAAGTGCGCCAAGACCCAGCTAGACAGCCAAAATGAGGTACGCGCCTCCATGCGCGCATGTGGCTTTACCTGTTTGGGGAGACCCCTGTGGCAAACCCCTACGGAATTTCTCGCCTAGCCTCCAATCAACGCAGGGGGGAGGAGAACTCCTCCCCTGCCGAGGCTCACTCAAACCCATTCTGCGGCTGTGGAAGACGGACGCCTTCAAAAGGGCTTCGGGGTGTCTCGCAACCACCTTCTGCCAACCAGCGAGCGGGGCCGATCTCGATGTCCTCCGGAGGGAGAGGAACTCCGACCTCGCGGAATTCACCGCTCAATGGATAGAAACCCAGCATACTTGAGCAACCTGAGATGCTTACTGCAAGACGGGCACACACACACACACCACAAAAAAAGAAAGAGGAAAGACATCCACCTCAAAGAGCAACGAATCTTGAACAACTGAACCCACCTTGTGAACCCAAACCCCAAAAACCCACTCGTCCGGGACGCCCTCTGTAGGCCCCGGCGCGGTCAGCCAGTCCGCACAAATCTCCAGGGCGCTCGGCGGCAGCTCCTATGAGCTTCGCTTTGCTCATGCTGCTCGACCCTTCAAATGGGAACGGGCTCAGGGGTTCTCACAACTACTTTGGGGATTGTGTCCCTTCAAGCCACCGTTTACATGGCAATCTGTACGGCAATCTTGAGGGGTCGCTTTCATAGACCGCGTTGCGGGTCAGCAGAAAGCAGCCCTTGGCAAAGTGTTGCCCCGAAAGACGTATTTGCCCTCCAGGGAGTTTCCACTTGAAAGGAAAAGTGTTTTCTGGGACCCCTCCGTCAGGTTCCATGCTAGTGGACAGGAGGCTAGTGTTGCAATGGGTGGTCTTGGCCCTTTCCTACAGTCACCGGCACTGGGATAAGCAGCTATGTTGATGTCGTTGGGTTCTGCCTTGATGGGATGACATCAGTCCACGAAGGCCACTCTTGAAGCGGGCTGCAAGGCTCTCGAGAAGCTTTGTCTCAAAAGGGCAGGGAGGGCGCGTCGATCTTGTAGCCTCGAATCGGACATGTCATTTACAGACGGCATCAAGCGGGGGCCTTGAGTCATATCAAATCAAATCCTTCAGATCCTTCTCAAGATGGGACTGCATCACAACGTTGGTGAAATGCGTGCGGAAGCTGGGCGCCTTCCCCCGCGCACCCGCCCGGCTCTGACGGTCCAGAAGGTGTCTGCCCAGCATCGCCTGAGTCGGCCCGTCTCAGGATCCATGCGGGAAGCTTCCGAGCGACCCGAAAAGTGGTGGCCGTTGCCCCTACTTGACCCCCTTCCAAACATGTGCTTCACTCTAAATGTTTCAGGAATTTGCCTCCCTCAGCGCCGGCCACAAGGAGTATGGGGGAGGGCAGCCTGTTCGGGCCTGTATCCAAGTGACGCCAAACGGAACCCGACCGTGCTCAGATTCCAATTGGGCGCTATGACCCGAGGCTCTGAGGCGCCAGCCATCTGCGAGGGCAAAGGAACCACCGCTGCTCTGAAGTCGATGGCGAGCGGATCCCCCGGATATGCTCGCTACGACTCCCCCCACTGTGGCTGGCCAATGTCAAGAGCTGGGACCTCCAGTGGCTATGGGGCTACCGATCGAACACCAACAACCGACATACATCGACCCAGGCATGGCATCACAAAGCCGATCGAAACGACCAATCATCCAATTGCTTTAACTATAGTCACTATATGTCCCATCCCGTCCCATCCCGTCCCGTCGCTACTTTTAACGCGTCGCTTTGGAATCCGTCTGGCCACGACTTCTCAAGACGACCTGCCAGGAATCCGGAGCCCGTCTTGCAGCCAAGGGGAAGCGGTGGGCCACAACTTGGAGTGTCAGAAGCGGAGCCCGTTTCACTGCTTCACACTACCGAGGCCCTCCACCCTTGACCTCCCATTTCTTTCATTTCAGGCCAGGGGGGGGGTTCTCTGCGGCATCCCAGGCTAGAAGAAGCATCGTTGCTGTGACCCCTGCCTGCTCGCACCGGTAGCACAAGTCCTAAAAGTCGAGGCATCGCGAGTCCCAAGAACTGGACCCCAAACGAGCGCTTCTTGGACCGAGAGGGGGGGGGGAACAGCCAAGCCCGCCGTCGTCTTTCACATTTAGCCGCCCCCCCTCTGAAGGTCCACAAGAACTATTGGCAGCCCATGCGAGAAGCACAATGATGCTACCCGCCCACTAACAAACATTGAGGTCCACAGAACCGTTTAGAAGTCTGCTCAGGCCTGTGCAAGTCCGTACATGTTTGCTGGTGGCTAAGTGTCTGGGGACAGGCCGGTCTTTTGAACCACCCCTCTGGTGTGTTACTTCGCCTGCTTTGACCAAGGCGGCTGACAGCTCCAAAACACATCCCAAGAGCCCAACAAATGAAACAATTCGCAACACAAGCAAACCAGCCTACAAAAGTAGCAAAGAAGACCAAGGAACAAGAGCAACGCCAACAAATAGTACTCTCGTCTCAGCAGTCCTGGATCGCCTCATAAAGCTGCTGTTCGTCCCCTCGCAGGATCTGCTCCCCGAACTTTGTCAGCTCCACCTCGCCCGGTGATTGCACAGCAACGGACAAAAGGACGTGTTTTCCCCAGAACACGGGGGTGTTCACAACTCGGTGCTCGGATCATCCCCCAAGAGTTTGTGGGTACTTTCAGTGCCTCCCCCCCCCCCTCCCCACCCCCACCACCCCCCGCTCCACCCCCGCCCACCCCTCCCACCTCCTCCCAATTATGCAAACTACCAACTATTTTCTCAGAGACACATGTCTACCGGCTGCTGGCTTGAGGGCAAAGGGAGAACCGTTTTAAGCAGTGCCAATGCACCATCCCCCACTCATGCCATGGCGTGTCCGATGCAAAGTAACCAACGCCTTGCCACGAACCAAACAAATGCACCGCACTTTTGGTCCTAAGCTGGTCGGAATCGGATACGAGCCCGGCCTTGGAGCCAACGGAGGGCGGCAAAAGCGCCAGGCCAGCTTGAAGCCAGGTTGCGAACTCCTGGGAGCTCTGGGGCGAATGCATCTATGGAAATTCGTTGCGCCCTTCCAAAGCAGGCAGGTGCGGCTCCAAACGTGGCAACCGCCATTAAATGCTGGCTGCCCTTGTCAGCCACAGCTGGAAAAACGGTGGCAGCGAAACAGGGATCCTTACATTATAGACCTGAACATTGCCTTGTAGATGGTGGTGTCCTTTTGTTTTGGCGGAAAAAGCCATGTTTCAACTGGGCAAAATGTATCTTTTAAGGAGCCCTGCGAAACCTCTCATGAGCCGATGAAAGCATGCAAGTCACCCTTGTGCCCACGGGAGGGCCACACCTGTTTCTGGCAAAGCACGCCGGCCCGTCCTGTGGAAAGGCGGATCGCACGTGATCTAAAATAGAGTGGATGGTCTCCTGCACGTACTTCGTGGGCACCTGGTCTGCTCCGTCCGGGCTTCTCCTCGAATCCTACCCTCCTCGGATCCTGTCGTGCATCCCCTCAGTTTCACTGACCCAAAACGCCTCCCCGAAATTCGAGACTAGCTCAGCAAGCTACCCCATTTACCTGAAAGGGAGACAACGCTCACACCCTTGACGCCCACTGACAGCGTCAAATGCCAAGTATTACTTTCAAATGAATCCCATTGCTATCGCAGAACGTGGCAACCTCAAAGCCAAACTTCCCAGATGTGACCTGCTTCGACCAAACGTGGCCACCTACACCCCAAATTTCCACCACCTGCGACCTGCCACCAAGCCCAAGGAATTGGGCCCCCGGCCCCAGCGATTAGAGTGAAGAGCGCCTCAACAAAGCCTGGGGTTACCTGGCGGAAGCCAAAGTGTGTCACTTCTCGAGGGAAGCTTTCATGTTGCTGAACATGCTATTTGCGGATGCTGGTAGCTCCTTTACCACTGACTGGATTTGGGGGGGGGCCTTGACAATCATAGGGCTGTTATAGGGCTTTTGCCCGACTTCACTTTAGCCAATCGAATCCAAATAACCCAATCTATGGCGTGCGGTCGACAACGCTCCTATTACTGGCTCTTACTGCAGGGAATTGCCAACATGGAGCCAAGCCGGATCTTTGCAACTCGTCGTTCTCAAAGCAAAACACGCAATGATCTGCAACACGGGGGCGCTGTCAACACCACAGGTCATGCGCGATGCTCCAGGACAAATTCCGTGAAAGCAAGCTGGTCACACTTCCACTTCCCAAGCAAATTCGCAGGACACGTCTGCAGCTTCATAAGGAACATGTTCTCTCCCACGGTCGTTTGGCACTCGAGCACGGGCATCTAGAAGCTTAAATGTTTGTTCACAAGCTGTCACAATAACAACGTTCGGCAATGTTGCAAACTAAACAACGGTGCCTTAAATTCCGCCGTATTTCTCCAGACCCCTGCCCTGCCCTTCTCAACAAGCAGTGTCGGCGGGTCTGCGCCGTCTGCGCCGTCTGCGCCATCTGCGCCATCTGCACCATCTGCGCCATCTGCACCATCTGCACCATCTGCGCCGTCTGCGCAGTCTGCGCCGTCTGCGCCTCCTGCGCCGTCTGCGCCGTTTGCGCCGTCTGCTCCGTCTGCGCCGTCTGCGCCGTCTGCACCGTCTGCGCCATCTGCGCCATCTGTCTGCGCCATCTGCGCCATCTGCGCCATCTGCGCCATCTGCGCCGTCTGCGTCGTCTGCGCCATCTGCGCCATCTGCGCAGTCTGCGCCGTCTGCACCATCTGCGCTGTGTGCGATGTCTGCGCCGCCTGCGCCATCTGTGCCTTGCGCCGTCTGCGCCGTCTGCCCCGTCTGCGCTGTCTGCGCCGTCTGCGCCGTCTGCGCCATCCGCGCCATCCGCGCCGTCTGCGCCATCTGCGCCATCTGCGCCGCTTGCGCCGTTTGCGTTGTCTGTGCCCTGCGCCATGCGCGCTGCCTGCACCATCTGAACCGTCTGCGTGCTTTGCGCTGTCAACAAAGACATAGGCAGCTGTAGGGAGCAAACGCGTATCAAAAAAAGCCCTGCTGCGTGCACGACAAAATAGGTGGTCACCGCCGTACAGTTCCCCGTGCGCCCGTCAAAAAAACAGTTCTGGCTTGACACAAATTCTGAGTGGCCGCAGCAGGCAAAAAAGCATCTGGGTGTCAAAAAGCACCAATATTGCAGCTGGGCACAGCATCCGTAGGCAATCACTAGGGTACAAATTCTGGGCGGGCCGGCCAAATTTGCCGTGTGACCCCCTACAATGTAGACATAACGGGTGATTCTTTCGTTGCCTGCTGTGGGTGCTTTGCCCTTGTACCCCGGTGACCCACTTCTTCCTTCGCTCTTCCTTCTTTCTTTCGTTCTGTATTTCTTTCTATCTATCTTTCTTTCTTTCTTTCTTTTCTGTCTTTCTTTCTTTCTGTCTTTCTTTCTTTCCTTCCTTCCTTCTTTATTTCTCTCTGTCTGTCCGTCTGTCTGTCTGTCGTTTTTCTCTCTTTCTTTCTTTGCGTCTTTCTTTCTGTCTTGCAATCTTTCTTTCCTTCTTTCTAGACACCTATCTATCCATCTGTGTACGGCTTTTGACTATTTCTTGTAGTCGTCCAACCCCCCTTTTACAGCAGCAAAATACTGATCTTTTGTTTATCTATCGCTCTCTTTCTCTCTCTCTCTCGCTCTCTCTCTCTCTCTCTCTCTATCTCTCTCTCTCTCCCTGTCTATTTAAATATCTATCTGATCTTTCTATCTAGCTACCCATCTAATCGTTCTTTCTTTCTTTCTTTCTATCTCTCTCCCTCTCTATCTACCTATCGACCTATCGATCTTATCTATCTCTCTCTCTCTCGCTATGTCCCTCTCTATGTTTCAATATACCCTTCCACTTTCCACATTTCTCTCTGTCTAACCTGCGCAAGTGCTGCGCCCGCCACGGAACCCTTACCTGACCTTGCGAAAGTGCTGCGCCTGCCATGCAATTTGCACTTGGCCTCGCGAAAGCGCTGCTCCTGCCACGAATATCTGCACAATGTGCTGCGCCTGCTACGAGATTTGCGCCTGACCTCGCGAATGAGGCGCCTGCCACGACCTCGCGAAAGCGCTGCGCCTGCCATGAAATCTGATCTGTTCCTGGCTTTGCGAAAGTGTTGCGCCTGCCCCGCACAACTAAGCCTGTGAAAAGCGCGCGCGTCCGTGCCAATGGGCCCAGCGCCGAACCCGATCCTTCGAACGCGTCCGCAGATGCTCCAAGATCTCTCCGGTGCGGATGGTGCGGATGGTGCGGATGGTGCGGATGGAGCGGATGGAGCGGATGGAGTGGATGGAGCGGATGGTGCGGATGGAGCGGATGGAGCGGATGGAGTGGATGGAGCGGATGGTGTGGATGGTGTGGATGGTGCGGATGGTGCGGATGGTGCGCATGGTGCGGATGGTGTGGATGGAGCGGATGGTACGGATGGTACAGATGGAGCGGATGGTGCGGATGGTGCGGATGCTGCGGATGGAGCGGATGGCGTGGATGGAGCGGATGGTGTGGATGGAGCGGATGGTGCGGATCGAGCGGATCCCGTTCGTAATGAAAAGTTCCCCCAGAAACTTCGCACGCACCCTCGTTCCTCATAAGGGCTGAGCAAAATATGCGGACGCGTCTCATATCCCTTTTCAAGACTTGCCCATGCAGAAGCCACAAACATGAAACATGTTGCTAGAAACGTAATGATGACCTACTCAAACATGCTGCAGTTCTGTGTGACTCTCAAAACGCTTTGCCTTCGTAGCAATCGGCGCCTTAGCATCTTAGCATCTTAGGGAAAGCAGCCAAGCGTGACAAACCAATAGGCAAATCTCCGGAATCCGCTGCGCAGCGGGCCTGTAGGGCATGTGGCCGCAACAACTGCCCGATGTTGGCCTTGTTCTCGTCAGCGTGTCTCCTGTCAATCACCCCAATTCTGGTTTTCAACAGGAAGCCCACCAGCTGGAGGCCTCTCCATTTGGACTGGGCAAGCAGCTCCTATCTATCAACATGAATGAATTCATTCGAAGGACCTGATTGTGGGGCGAGGTGACTTGCCAGTCACTTTGCCCGCCTCCAACCTCACAACTCACATTCATCCCCTGGAGCAACTCACTGCACAACCGCCCACTGGCACAGAAAGACACAAGCTCCAAGTCATGTACAAACACAAGGGAAACAGCTCGACAACTATGCCCCTCTGTGACAGTGAGCAGGCATTCCGCCACAGCCTTTGGAGCTTTGGGTTTTTTGACATGTTGCGGTGCAGCTGTTGTGCCTGTGTCTGCGAGCGTGTAAAGTGAACACGCAAGTGCTGGTATTTACGCTAGTCTGATGCCCTCCAGCTTAAACCAAACACCGAGCAATTGCTTCTAGATTCTGGTATGTGTGTTGAAGCAATTGCATACAAGAGAGTGGGTTGAGACCATTTCGGCCGCGAACGTTGCGTTCTGGTGCAAGTGCAAGAGAGTGCGTCCTTCTTGCCCAAACTGATGCCACACCCAGAGGGCACTGTGTGGCCGGCTTACAACACACGGCACTTATTTGCGCGGCGCCGGCTCTTGAGCCTCGGGGCATGCCCTCGGCCGCTAGAAACGTGCCCCCAGCCGGAAGTCAACACCGAAGCCGCAGCCGTCGCCTGCCCAACTTGCTGCCCTCCGCAATGTGGGAGAGCACGGACTCGATGAAGGCGATTACCGCCTGCGGGTTCAGCTCTGTTTGCCGGTGGGGCTAAGCATCACCTTTCGGGCCACAAGATGATTCTCAATTTAAGTGGAAATATGGGGAACCCTGAGTCTGGCGGGCTCATCGAACTGCTGCGAAGTGTGTACATTGGATGGCTCACCATGAAGAGAGTGGAAATGGAAGCTACCCCTAATTTTGTGGGGTCGCCAGTCCAAATACCTTATGAGAGGGGGATTGGCAATCCCCCGCTTCCATTCTTCTAGGGGTTGATTCCCCATTCTTTTCAGTCATCCTTCTTTTCAAAAACCGATCGCCATTTCCCCAAGGGTCTTGGTGGTTTTCTAGAAAGATCCGGATCCCTGAAAAGAGTGGAAATGGAAGCTGCCCCCTAATTTGGTGGGGTCGCCAGTCCAAATACCTTATGAGAAGGGGATTGGCAATCCCCCGCTTCCATTCTTCTAGGGGTTGATTCCCCATTCTTTTCAGTCATCCTTCTTTTCAAAAACCGATCGCCATTTCCCCAAGGGTCTTGGTGGTTTTCTAGAAAGATCCGGATCCCTGAAAAGAGTGGAAATGGAAGCTGCCCCCTAATTTGGTGGGGTCGCCAGTCCAAATACCTTATGAGAAGGGGATTGGCAATCCCCCGCTTCCATTCTTCTAGGGGTTGATTCCCCATTCTTTTCAGTCATCCTTCTTTTCAAAAACCGATCGCCATTTCCCCAAGGGTCTTGGTGGTTTTCTAGAAAGATCCGGATCCCTGAAAAGAATGGACATGGAAGCTACCCCCTAATGTTGTGGGGTCGCCATCCCAAATACCTTTTGGGAAAGGGATTGGCAATCCCCCGCTTCCATTCTTCTAGGGGTTGATTCCCCATTCTTTTCTGTCATCCTTCCTTTCATAAACCGATCGCCATTTCCTCAGTGTTTTTGGTGGTTTTCTAGACAGATCTGGATCGCTGAAAAGAATGGAAATGGAAGCTACCCCCTAATTGTGTGGGGTCGCCATCCCAAATACCTTTTGGGAAGGGATTGGCAATCCCCCGCTTCCATTCTTCTAGGGGTTGATTCCCCATTCTTTTCAGACATCCTTCTTTTCAAAAACCGATCGCCATTTCCCCAAGGGTCTTGGTGGTTTTCTAGAAAGATCCGGATCCCTGAAAAGAGTGGAAATGGAAGCTGCCCCCTAATTTGGTGGGGTCGCCAGTCCAAATACCTTATGAGAAGGGGATTGGCAATCCCCCGCTTCCATTCTTCTAGGGGTTGATTCCCCATTCTTTTCAGTCATCCTTCACTTCAAAAACCGATCGCCATTTCCCCAGGGTTTTTGGTGGCTTCTAGAAAGATGAAAAGAATGGAAATGGAAGCTACCCCTAATTTGTGGGGTCGCCATTCCAAGTGGGGATTGGCAATCCCCGCTTCCATTCTTCTAGGGGTTGATTCCCCATTCTTTTCAGTCATCCTTCTTTTCAAAAACCGATCGCCATTTCCCCAAGGGTCTTGGTGGTTTTCTAGAAAGATCCGGATCCCTGAAAAGAGTGGAAATGGAAGCTGCCCCCTAATTTGGTGGGGTCGCCAGTCCAAATACCTTATGAGAAGGGGATTGGCAATCCCCCGCTTCCATTCTTCTAGGGGTTGATTCCCCATTCTGTTCAGTCATCCTTGGCTTCAAAAACCGATCGCCATTTCCCCAGGGTTTTGGTGGATTTCTAGAAAGATCCGGATCCCTGAAAAGAATGGAAATGGAAGCTACCCCCTAATTTGGTGGGGGCGCCAGTCCAAATACCCTATGAGAAGGGGATTGGCAATCCCCCGCTTCCAGTCTTCTAGCCTTCCACCGCCTCCTTCTGCCCGGCCTCCACCGCCTCCTTCTGCTGCACAAAAATGGTCGTGCTCCAGAGCTGCATGGTGGGAGCCAGGGTCGGCGCCTGACCGGCACAGACCCTGAGCTGGGCAAGCCGTTGGTTTAGCGGATGCACCGAACCAAACTCCAGAAAGTGCCCCTCAAAGGGGCTTGACGTAAACCTGAAAAGGAGTCTTGAAAACCCGAATTGTTTGAGGAAGCTCATGCCTGGCAGGGCAAGCTCTTTCATCTTTTCACTATCGAGTTTCTATTACTCTTCTTCATCATTGAATTTATATGTCCTTTCTTCATCATATCCAAAAGAAGTAAAGAAATGATAGCCAAAAATATAATTATGTAATTATGTCTAATCATTGACTGTTTACTGGAATTATTCTATCTAGAGTTTAAACCTTTATCATCTTCATGGCTTTCATTATGTATGTTATTTTCAAGGAATTGCCAACATTATAAAACAGAAATACAAAGATGAACTAATGGACGCTTTCCTATTTCATACCTTCCCTTTCCAGTCTAGCCTAGGTGCACTTCTTCTCTGTATCCTTTTACACACTCACCAGAATGGTACGAGCCACAGTGTGTGTGTGTGTGCCACAGGCAACCCAACCCTCAAAAAAAGCAACATCTAGACGCCAGTGAAACAAGCATGGATGTTGCACGTCGTATTCCCGGCAAACGCCTCCGCCACCACCAGCCCTTCCCAAATCGATCGATGCCACAGAAGTGGGGCAATGCCGGCGATGCCTCCAGGACGATCCTGGGCGCGAACCTCAAATACCTGGCGAGCAGGTGAATCGAGTGAGCCGGGCACTTGGGCACTTGGCCTGGGAAAAAACCGCGCCACATCCAGAATCGCGCAAGCTTCTCTGCGCAGGGTCCATGAACACGTCGTTTGAGCCAATGACCTCTGGGCCCGCGGTTCGGGATCAACTATGGGGGGCCCAATGACAACGAACCCTCTCGAGCACAAGCGACAATCTCGGAGCAGCAATGCTACACTTCGACTTTACGAAGTTTATTTCAGTCAACTTATGCAGTTTCTACCTGTATATCACATTTGCTTTTTGTTGGCATGCTGGAATGGTGCATCCAACTCCCAGGAATTCAGCCAAAGTCAGGGGCAAACGTTTTAATTTGCGCTTCGACCCGGCGACCCTGAAATTGGGACCCCTCTTTAGGGGGAAACCAAAGCAAAACCAACTGTCTAAGGGGGTCCATATGTTGGGAGTCACCCACGAAGATGTCGTCCTCTTCCCCAGCTTGGCAATTCCAGGCAAAAGTTCGGGACTTGGGTAACTTACTAAGTTGCTGTCGTTCTTCTCTAGCATGCGCTAAGTATTTACATGTTGGTACCTTGCATGCCCCAGAGGCCTTTTGGCAAGTCAGTCTCGCCATGTCCACATGGATTCCCCACGCCTTTTTTCGGCCATTGCCCCCCTTGCCACATATGTCAATCTTTCCCCAACGCCTACTTCAAGCTGTCAAACAGCATGCCTGGAACATGGCGTCTGCCGCTTGAAAGGGATGCCAAGATCAACTCCCTGCCGTTCCGTGCGGGTGCGCATAAAAGAGGAATCCGCCACTCCTACAAGCCCTGCTGCGTAGCTCCCTTTTGCCAGTTCACTACAGCGAGGGCATGTGCTGTGGCAGCAGCAGCAGCAGTTCGCAGCAGAAGTAGCAGTAAGCAGCAGAAGTGGCGCAGGACCCCTAGTTTGAGAAATCGGAACCCAATTGAGCACTCAACCAAAGTCACCCTTTGGATGGGCCTCAAACTGCCCGCACGGAGTTTGGCCCAGCCTCTCGAACATTCCGAAGAAGTCCTCCACCAACTCCGTGATCTCCTGACGTGCCGTGTGTCTCAAGAGTCGGTGGTTTCCTTTTGGGGTGCTGGTCTGCCTCTGTGTGCGCGGGGAGCGCTGGGCTGACCGCCAACCAAAAAACACACGCAATGGAGCTTGCTCCTTGACTCGATAGGCCAGACTTTTGCGGGGTCACATCGGGGAGCCTTTGGTGGAGATATTTTTAGGAGGGACTCATGTCCACCAATGACCTTTGAGACGTTTCCCTTTTAAGATTACCAGCCATTGCTCTAAGGCGTTCGGATCAGTCGGGACATTGACCAGCGCCAAACAGGTGAAACCCCAAAGGTTGCAGGACGCCATGACAGCACCACCTGAGCAGCGCCCAGAATCTATTGACGTGTGTTTCTACCAACATGCTTATCAAGGTTTATATGAGCCTTACTTACTAGCCCCAATTTAAACCGGTCAGCGGGCCCCGAAGTCACCTGGTACATGTACAACACTCAGTGGAGGACACTCCCATTCCAAACATCCTGAGGCCGTGCCGCTGCACCTCATGGCTCCACTCTCAGCATCCAATGCCGCACCAGTCTTGGCTTGCACTCAAAGCAACCCGACGCAGGATTCCCTATCTGGCTGTGGCTCAAAAAACCGGTACCAAAATGTAACCCTGGTACGTGGAAACATGGACCAAAGCCTGCGTACCCTCCTGTTTAATATTAAGCCACACCCATATTTCCTTCTTGGTTTGAAACATCGCTCTATGGGCCAACTGTGAGCCGTCTTTGGTTGATGTTGAAAGCGGAAATGTCAGGAGCCATGTGGTTAACCAAGCGCGCTCCTCCAGCCTGTCCTTCGCGCTGATCAGACACCTAGGGCCAAAGCGGACCTGCCCAACCCCAGACAAGTCGAAAGAGAATAAGGCAAGCTAGGAACGAACCTCTTCAAATATGAGGGGGTGTTCCAAGCAACGCTCGCAGCCCGCTGGATTTGTCCAACAGGGATCACCAATTTGAGAAACCGGTCACATCGGATCCGCTTCGTTTTCAGAATCGTCACCTCATGGCAAACGGGCACAGCTACGAGCTCGGAGAGGTTCAAGGCCGTCCCCTGGGCCTTTTAGCTTGGCATCCGAATTGGGGCTCCCGCTGGTACCCGATGCCACTGAGCTGGTTGAAGAGCTCCGTGAGCACCGGCACAATCTCTGGGTCCTTGGCCTGGCACGCGATGATAAGGGCGCGAGCTGGTGGTCTGAAAGGGTCTAAAGGGTCTGACTGGCACAGTGCTCCGGCTTAAAGGTTGGTGGTCGGGCCCCCCCCTCCAAAAAAAACGCACTACAATTACCGCGAAACTTGCTGAGCTGCAACCCCGCATTTTTAGCTTTTTTCCCAGGAAAAAACAGCAAGCCAACAGTTGTCTAGCAAGAAGATGCTCCAGCAGGGAAACAGCCGCTGTCCAGCAAGAACAGGCTTGCTCTGCTTTGCTGGACGGCCTTCCCTATTGCTGTTCTCCGTTCGGGACGGCCTTCCCAGGCGCCGCACACACGCACGCAAGCATCCACGCAGAGACACAAAGCCACCCTCTGTTTCCTTCCGCAAGCTGAGAAAATCGCCAATGGACTTTGACGCTTCTTGGCAAGGCAGCAACTGCCCGGTATTCAGGTGGTTGGGGGAGAGAGGTTAAAAAATGGGGCGAGGAAGTGTTGAGGGGGTTGAGACTGGTAGACAAAGGGAAACCTTTGAAATACAATGCTCCCCAATGCATACCACTGGGGGTGGGAACTTGGGGAAGGGACTGAACTCTAGGGGAGGGGCGCTAGCTTTATTACTTGGTTTGGAGGGGGTAAACTTTGGACTTTCGCATTTTTGGTGGGGGACTCACCAAACAGAAAGCAAAGCACTGCTTTTTCAACCCACCATCTTTCTTAGGACCCAAGGGAACATGGTCAAAATAAAGAGGTTCCAGGATGGAAAGACAAGGCCGTCATGGGGGCGCTCCATTGTGAGCGGTTTCCTTCGGTTTCCCTTAAGCCTTGGGTTTCCCCTTGCAGCCTTCTGAAAGTGAAATACAAAGCCAAAAACGAAACAAAACAGTGATTTCCACGGGCAAGCATAAAATGAACGAAAATTGAGAAAACACAAGTCCTCTAGGAAATAGCGCCAACAATTGTGTTTTACTGTCATGGGAACGCCCAAATTGCCATTGCCATTTATGGGAACGCCCAAATTGCCATTGCCATTTTGAAGCAAGCGTTTTTTGGAACTTGTGAATGGAAACCTGGGAAAAAGCGAGCTTGTGCAACACGGGAGGGGGTGCACCAGAGCGAAACACCCCACTTAACTCAGACAAAACCAACAAACAATTCTGCCAATCAGCCAGGAGGGTTCGGAGTACCCAAATCGCTCGCTCTCTCTTCCTCTCTCATTGGTTCTGCTGATGGCTTCACTTTTAGCAGGCTGCAAAATGCTGCAAGTATCCTGGCTCCACTCAAGGCCCCTTTGTTTTTTCCAGAGTAAAGTATGATATCTGTCTCAACCCCACTACAAAAGCAATCACATCAAGGCCCACGTCGAAGATCGCCCTTTTCAAACACTGTGCGCCGCTACTTGTTTGTTGAGCGCTATCTGATTTTGTTCATGACGACGCTGTCCACACGACACGAGCATATCGATTCAGCATGGCCAACGGCCCGACACGGCTCCGAAGCTTGCAAACAACAGATCTGAACAGGTCAGCTATCTCTGTATCACTTACTCTCGAGGCCCTTGAGCACGCCAAAAGCTGCCAGCAGTAAGCCTCATGTGCAGCCAGCGGCCCTGTAAGCAGCAACGAGATGGGGTGTACAATTTGGATGCTGTCATTCGTGCAATCCGATCACCTAAACACAAGGGAGCTCAAGAGAAGCCTGCCCAAATGTAAACACGCCAGCGATGCGTAGGTGTGCGCCAAAATCTCCGCAATGTAGAGGTAGGACGAGTGCTGTTGCCTCCAGATTTGTCAAGGTCACGCATCTGAAAATGCCAGTGGGCAGGCAGCAGCCGGAAATCGGTGAAAGGAATCGATGATGAAAGGAACACGCGTGCCAAGCAGTCGACCAAATTGACGCGGCCCCTGACCGGAAACACACACACCCACACACACACACACATCAATGTCCAATTCATCAACTGCGATCAGTTGGATGGCTCGTCAGACCCAAGCGGCTTACGGTGCCGCTGCATGATTTCCCAGGGTGGGCGGGCGTGGTGTTGGTCGTGTTCGACCTGTTTGGCGTCAGGTGGGCTCTGCATTGGTGAGAACCAGGAAAGCATGCTTACGCAATCTCCAAAAAAAAAAAATCTGCAAGGCTAGCTGCGCTTCCTTTCAAGAGGCCCCTTGTCAGGTTTCCTGTTGCCCGGGGAGGTTTCAGGATTTGTTGGGTTGACTTTTTTCCCTGAGTCGTAGGGCTCGCACATTTGGTTTTGTATCTCAATCCGCTTCTATCACGTAGCTTCAAGACTTCACGCCGGCCCCCCTGAACAACCCCCACTTTTCCTAGGCCCCTGGCTGCTGGAAGGCGGTGACCAAGGTGCGGGCCACATCCGACACGTTCGGCTTGAAGAGGTCCGGCACCTCGGTCCGGGGCACGAAAACCTCCCATGACATGGCTCCTAGCCATGGCAATTCAAGAGGCTTCAAATTCCTTCGATGACAGCCGCGTATTCACATGCGAATCAAAAAAAAAATATACACATGTTTTGTGTTTTTCCTGCAAACACACACACACTACATATGTCCGGAGCTGCATACTCCGCCTGGGCGCGAGACCGTCATTTGCGTGGCGATTGCCATGGGGCCCCCGGCGCAGCGCATGGAGTGCTTCAGCAAACGGCAGCTCTTCTCGACCAGCTTGGAATCGCCCGGGTGCTGTGCCTCGGAATTCTGATTTGACCCACATGGTGATGTGAAAAATTGTTTAGGTCCTTGCCCATATGTGGCCCACCCTGCGACCCCGAAAACGGGAAACGCAAAGATACCAGCCCGCCACGAATGATGCCCCAAATGTTGCGAATAGGGAGCTCCCTTGATGACTTCAAAGGGTCTGTGGCTAGTTGTTTTTCCTGTGCCAGCTGGCTTGAACATGAAACCTCCCATAGCAAGGCCGTCAGGGAGGCCGGAGTTTCGCCTTGGTCGGAACTCATTGCAGTGTTGCACTCCCTCAGACCCGTGTCAAAGCCCTCAATCCCACAGACCTTGGAAGTGGGCCCGGCGAACTGGTCCTTCCATGGCTTTCGCTCGCAAACCGTGGAACAAAGGGCAATCCGGGACGCCAATCCAAGGAGCTCCGGAAAATTGGCGCTGCACCAAACTGTTTGAAGGGGCGGTCGAATGGGTAAACCAGCCACAGAAGAGGAGCAGATATCTGAAAAACCGCAAAGATCAATGACCCACCCATCCTTTTGCCTGCGTGTCCCTCCACAGGAGGGTCGTTTTGCCGCCTTTTGTGGAAGATTGTTCGACCCCATATCTTAGTGAAGGATTCCTTTTTGAGGGGGGGTCGCCAATTTTCTCGCAAGAGGCGAGGCAAAACGACGAGTCCCTGTGTCCGTCTCCGCCTCTCAAATCCTCAGCTCCCGGCCAGGCATTGCCGGATCACGGGCCAGAAGGTGTTGCTGATCAGCGCCCCTACGCTCACCGCCTGCGCTGCGAAGCGCGCTGGAGCTCGAGTGGAGCGGTTCAGATGGGAGCTGGGGGGGTTCTAAAAAAATGGCGGACCCCGGGTTTGTTGGCATTTGCCTTAAAGGGATGTGAAAAGGAAGCCAGCCGTTTTAGGGGACCCCCCCCTTGTTTTATCACATTTTCAGAAACACCCAGCCGTTCCGTACTTATGGCAACTACATCTCTGCGCTTGCACAGCCCTCAAGTTGAGGTAAAGAGATCGTGCAGAACCACGCCATCATCCCAACATTCAACTGAACAAGCGTGCCCCCCACCCCCACTCCCCGCATAATTATGTCCATGATACCCAAATGTTTCTAAAGGGTCCCTCGATTTGGTACATCCCCATCCATACATTTCTTATGGGGTGGGGTATGCTGTTGCATTTCTGGGGCAGGTTGCTGGAAGGCTGCCACCCGATCACCGGCCAGTGCTTCCTCAAGCGTTTAGCAGTCCAAGGTTTACTTAGCAATGGGGTTGCGAATGGGAAGCACTGTTTGGTGCATCAGCTGTTGCAAGCGTTCCTGCCTAGGTTCCATTTCACGAATCACCTCTGCAGAAGAAGGAAGCATTCAACAGACCTTCCTTGCGTCTTCTGCCGTCGGCAACTTCTCACCTAAGCAGCCTGTTGGAGAGGCGCAGCCTCAGGCCCAAGTTTCAATCAGTGCATGTTTCAGAGTCTGAGGGGTTCCAGCTACCCCCAGCTCCTCTGAACTGGGTGGTAAACAAAAGGTCTTCACAATAAGCGCGGTCTGTATTGTAGTTGTTACAATACAGACCGCACTTATCCTTGTGTGCTTCCTCCAAAAAGCAAATTCTTGGCTCAGAGTTGACCTCTGGGCTGCGTGGGCTGCAATCTGATCCCAAATCGCAGCACCCAGTGGCTGCTGGCTATCAATCCTCACTTTAAAGCCTGATGTTCAAATTGGCGCTCGGCAACCACTAAGCCCAAAACATAAAACCCCACAAGGCCTATGCTATTTTTGATGTTTGGCTCCTTCTTCGCCCGCATCAGTGCGGTGCACTCACTTCCGACCGACGCTTTCCCCTCGCGCCTAACATCCGGCTGACCATTTGAGGTGCTCAAAATGCTGAAGCCCTACTACCCTAAACCCTAAAACACAGGTTCTCTCTCTGGGCTTTGTTTTTTTCATCTGGGCCATGTCCGGTTCCTGGCGTTCGCCATGTAATTTTCGTCTCCTTCAGGCTTCCGTCCATGCCATGCCGAGATCAAGTCGAGATCACCCGGTGTGCCGCCATTCAAGGGAGTCGGCCTTGCTGCGGCCAAACTTCGACGCCCTGCGAAAAGTGACTTGGTTGCAACAAGGGTTAAAAAAGGCTAATTAAAGCAGCTCAGTACGTCTGGCAATGAGCGCAGGGAGATTGCTGATTGGCAAAGCTCCCTCAGTTTCCTGGCGCGGCGCCTTCGCGGTGCCTTCCCGGATATGCACTTGCCTGCAGGGAGAAGGGGGAAACACGGTCAATTATGAGCGGCCGTCGAATTGCATGGGTGTCGGCCCCCTTTTATTTTTGACCTGGGGTCCTTCTCCTTCACCAGAACGCTTCCCGAAATGGCCCGGCTTTGAGACACGTGTCATTACAGGCCCAAACTTGAACAACCCAGCCTTTTGCGTTGTTTCCAGTTCCCCTTCAATACGTGCAATGCCAGACTGCTTACCTTGGTCCGAGAGCTAGGACTCGGAAAGTTGAAACTGGCACTGTTTGGCGGCAAAACAAATTACTGCAAAATTGCCTTGGACAAGTACCTCACGTCGAACACCCTCAACTACTGCGGCCTCAGCTACGAAACCAACCCAAACAACTTCGAAGCTCATCTGAACCAACAGAAGGGTCAGACTCCCGAGTTTCTCGAACATCCGGGCCAATGGCTTGTGTTCTCGTTTGAGCTCTGCCTGGCCTGCACAAAGGTTTAATTCGAAACCTCTCAGCTCACAGCTTGCCACGGTATTTCCTGGTGCTATGGTTGCAGGACATGGCCGTTCGGCATTTGTCGTCCCAACGTTTGGCGCAAAGCCAGTTGCACAAACTTCCCAGAAAACTGGTTTGCCGACGACTCACAAGATCTGGTCAAACATGCTCCAATCACCAGGTGTATTTCTGCGCGTTAGCGCAATCTGACAGAACAAACGCGCCAACACAGGGCAGAAGTGTTTTCCAAAAAATGATGAAAGCAACAACTCGGGAAAAAATGGCGGAATCTCACGTGGATTTGTCTGGAAACCAGGCCATCTATTAGTTAGGGCAGGCCATGCGCAACTTTTTCCGGACTCAAAAGTCTAGGGTCCACCCTAGGATTTTTTGCATTTTTTGAATAAGCGCCTCAAAACAGCCATTTTAAAACATTTTTTGAAACAGTCTAAACACATTTTGATAAATATTTTTTTAGTACTGCATACCAAAACAAAAATTGAATTATTTTTTGAAAAATTCAATACACCTAAACATGTTTATTTTCAAAAACACACATTTTCCAAAATATTTTAGAAAATATATTTTTTTCAAAAGAGATAAATATATATATCATTTTAAGAAGAATTATTCAATAAGAAACAACATTTTCAATAATTCAATGAGAAGACAAATAATTAATCATTTTTCGAAATTTGGATATTCCGGAGTTGCGCATGGCCCGCCTTGTAGGATTTTATCTTCAATATATAAAACGCTATACTTACATTATAATTATAACATATAAGGGTATAAATGTTATTATTATAGTATGGTTATAATTTAAATTCAGGATAACTATTTAATTGATATATCGTTCCTCTTTCATACATCATTTTAATAATACTATTAATATCTCTCACTGTATTTTTAACATTAAACTTTTCACTTTCAATATATGATTTAATGTTTTTTTTTACATCAAACCCTTCTTTTCTTTGATACTCCAACATCCATAATATGCAGTCAATCATTTCATACTTTTTCTTACTGATTTTCATAAATACTCTAACATAATCATAAGGTGGTATTTTATACACAGTTAAAAATATCAAAATGTCATCTTCAACATTTCTTTCATTAAACCTTTTAATATCTAAATTATATTCGATTGCGTCTTGGTAATATCTCCATTTTTTACATGTTCTGCATATATTTTCTTTACCCAAAGAATAATCAATAATATTATTAACTATTCCATTAGGTAAATTTAATTTATATAATTCCATATTTTCCTTTTTGAAGTGGCAACAGTTGTAGCATTTCTTATTGATATAATTATTGATTTCGGTTTCCACCATTTCTATTATAATATATATAGTTTTTATTTCTTTAAATACTTTTTTACAAGAAATATTAAAATATTATTTAAATTATTATCATTTACAACTACAATTGCATCTAACACAGTAAGGAATAATATTATTCAGTTCGTGTGACAACTCGTTTGATTTACGTTGCGCTGTCAGATTTGTCATTATATTACCGTTTTTAATATCCATAGAAAAACCGCATCCGCAGTAATTACATTGATTAGTGATATTATTTAAAAACCATTGCGCATTTACATAACCTTCTTTAGGTATTGTTCTTTTGGCTTTCCTGTCTTGTTCTTTGTAATTTAATATTTTCCTTTCAAAATAACTCATAATACATTTTTGATTAAATACATCATCAATATCTTTCGTATATTTATAAAATTTGACTTTGTTTAAATCTCTACACCTTGTAATTGCAGTCCATATCCATTCTGGATAATTCTTTACCAAAAAATGGTTATAATCAAAAATTGTTATGGTGTCATCAATGCTACTGCCTTGGGCAGAATGACAAGTCGAGCAATATGCAAATATAAAATTACTTCTTATTTTATCAACTGGCAAAGACTGTAGAATTTCAGTTTTAACATTTTTCAACGTAAATATTCCATCGCTTCCAATATGAACAATTTTATATTTGAAATTTACATTAAAAACTGATGTTTTAGTTGTTGTATATTCTCTACAAATTAAAAATTCTCCTACTTCATATTCATCTTTTCTATTTTCTAATTTTCTAATTTCATTTGATACATTTTTACAAGTTGTATTTAAAAATGCTATGTTGTTGATTGATTTGCTTATGTCAGTTGTATATTCAAAGTATTTTTCAATAACTTTCATAATAGGTAATTTATTTTCAAAAATATCAATTTTAATATTTCTTAGTTTATCTTTATCTTCCTGTGTGTTAAGTCGCTTACATTCTTTTAACAAAATATTATATTCAAAAATGTTATCTATAATGTTATCAGTATATACTTCATAGTCTCGAGTATTTGTTATCTCTTGAACTGGTTTTAACTGCTTGGTGTCTCCTGTTGCTATTATAATTTTGTTGTGCTTATTCTGTTCTACAAATTGTTTTATTCTCCAATATATATTTAAATTACTAAAATAAACTTCGTCAAATACTATAACATCAAAATCTGTAAAATCAAATGGTTCTAATTTAGCATCTCCATAATTAATACCGAAAAATTTATTTATTGTCATTGCTTCGCCTTCGAATGCCTGTAATAGTTTATTAGTAGGACAAATAAAAATTACATTATAATTTTTATCAACCATTTTTTGACATATATATGATTTTCCTGTGCCCGGTAGTGCTCCACGAATCATAATAGGATTATTTTGTTCAATAATTTCTATAATATTATCTGTGTCATATTCATCTACTATATCAATAGTTTTACTTTCATAAATTGGTATTTGTATTAATTCGTTTTGTGTAATTTCATAATCTACAGTAGGAAATTTAATATATTCGTCATTTGAAACTCGCCAACCTCCTATTTCATTATTAAAGATTAAAAGCTCTCTTGCTTTTGTTATATCCGATCGCGCTATTGTAAACGCATCTGTTTTGACACTGAACACATTAATACCATTTTGATATAACTTAGAATAATCTTGATACATTCTAAAATTATGGTATTGAAGCAGTAGCTCTTTTACATACCTAAAACCATTCCTTAAGCGCGATGTGTCCTTTAAATTAAGTATATAATATGACGCCTGTTCTTCTTCTGCTGTATATTGTTCTTCATCTACTGTAATTTGTTCTGTCGTGAAATGTGTTAATTTATGTATTTTACCTCCATACTCTGCCTGATAGTTTAAAGCTTCCTTAAGATTTTTAAACACTGTGCTCTTCTGGTCAGTTGCTCCCCCCTTTTCTAAAAGTCCATAATTAACATTTGCGACCAGTTTTTTAATACATTTATCTTCCTCATTGTCTTCGCTAATGTTTGTGTTCCAAAGTTCATTAACAATATTTTTATGTTCAACTTTGTGAATAAATGAAGGTTGTTTAAAGTATAAAATATTAATTCGTTCTCTTGTCATGTTATCTAGTTGTTTCAAAAATACACCATATATTAAGCAATATTTTTTATTAAATAGCATTCTTCCTGTCCGTTTTAGTATAGTAGTTTTCTTTTCTATATAATATAACGTTAAGTCGTGTAGGTCATAAATATCAGTTGTATCATCAAACGCTCGCCATATGTCAAATTGATTAAATACTGGTATTTCTGATATAGTAATAAACGCATGAGTAAATGCTTTTGATATATCGATTTCGATTTCATTTTTGATATCTCTGCTATCACACAATAAGCCAGATGGAACAACTGTTCTGGCTTCGTCTAAAATTTGAATATCAATGTCATTATAAAACGATTTATGAGATAAGTTAAACAATGACTTATTAAAATTAAACATTGCTTTATTCATATTGTTATATGTAGTTTCATTACATACTGCAATGCATCCATCTGCAGAAGTTTTTATTAAATTTTGTGTTTTTATTATATATATTGTTTTGTTAAATTTCATTTTTATTTCTGATATAATACCAGCTTGAAATCTAATTCTTGGTTCGTAGCCACTATTAACTAAATTGAAAAATAATTCAGATAACTTATTGTCTTCGGATACTAAATATATCTCTTTTGTTTTTTCATCAACTTTGATATTTAGTATATCGTCAATATTTTTTATCATTCTATAAAGCGGTGGTTCCTCTCTTTCATTAATATAGTAGTCGGTTGAAGCTTTGACAGTTGGTATCTTGGTTATTAATTGTTTCTGTTGAATGCTTTTTAAGTCGTGATTCATTGCGTAAATATGACTGTTTTTGACCATTGCATAAAATGGTTTGATGTGCCTACTATTTATATCGGGGTCGCATTTATAAATTAATTTATTGCAACAATCATAAATTCTGCATGGAATTTTAAACTGTTTAAATACAGCCTCCATCTCCTGAATGGTTGCCCCCGTTTCGCCAAAGTTATCTCTACCTATAATTTCAATTACTTTTTCTCTAGTTAGTCTATTACGGGTTCTTTCGTTCATAATTGTATCACTGTAAAAATCAGTTAATGCATTAATCCAGCATTCATTATCGATATAATTACCCTTGCTAATTGCTTTATGTATGGT